GTTTAAGGGCTCCCCAAAGAGGCCAGAGCTCTTTTGAAGAGTAACAAAGGGATGGATGGGCCTTGCAATATCCTACACAAAGAGAAGGCAGCAACTTACAGTGCTTGCATAGACCAGACAGCTGGGCACAAGGGTCAGGCCAAAGGAGACACCTTCGGTATACCAAAACTGGAACCACAAACGTTTGATCCGCTCCAGTCCAAAGGCACAGTCCAAGTGCTCAGTTTGCTGCTCTTTCTTTTCGCTTGCTAGTCCACTCAACAGCAACAGAAATGTTTTCCATTTGTTGTCCCCTTCTGTATCTAGACCTACATTTGCCAGGGAGATGAAGTTTTCTGACAGTCTTCGCTAGAGCAGCACAAAAGCACATAACATTGACTACGCTTTGATCCCTCTGTCTCCTCCGGGACGAAAGGGAATGTATGTCTGACTGCACTGACAAGTCAGGGGGATCAAACAGGCAGCTTCAACTGGCTCCTATTCCTGCCTACCTTTTTTGATGGGAAAGGAGCCACAAGTCTTTGATCCTAGCAAATCTCTGTTAGTTCTAATAAAGATTGTACTACCTAGCCTGGTTCTATAGCGTCCGCATACTTCATCAGATCAGCTCACTGGGGTGTTCTCCTGCTGGATCAGAACCTGTATCTTCTGTGATATCCCATCTACACAACCACACACACTAGTGGTTTTCTTCTGAGCTGTCATCTTCTCAGAATCTTTTGTGTTTTCTGGATTTGTCAATGACCATGATAATAAGATTTGCTAGGTGTTTGAGCATGGTAGTTCTAAACTTCCATACATTTAAATGTTAATATGCAGTGTGTGTGTGTGGGAACCACCCATTTCTATTATTCCCATTTACCCTTGCTGCCTCTATACCCAAACTTCATTTGTAAATTCTTCAGGGCAGGGACCTATTTTGTAGTTCCTTCCTAAAAGTGCTAGTTTTATCAGTCTCCCCAGTCTTGTTTTGGCTGATGGCTCCCAGAGTTCCCAAGGGCTGGCCATCCTGCCTGTGGCCCTACATGAGTTGACATTCAGTACATCTGGAGGACATTATCTTGGGGAATGTTTTGCTATGAAAAGTCACAGGAAACCTGTATAATAAACTAGGCCTGGGGCAAGAAGACTGTACCAGAAAATCAAGTGAACATCAAGTCAGGCTGCTCAGTAGGTCAAACACTGGGCTTAATTCTGCTTGGTGTTGATTCTTCCTAACTTAGCTTGGTCTAAGTCATCTGAAGGGCCACAAGTTGCTAACCCCTGAACTAAAATCAGGAAACAGCATTGTCCTTCATAGCATACTTTAATCAAAGGACTAAGCCTGGATTGTTTCAGGTTCTTTGTGGCCTCTGGCCCCAACAGCTCCAGCAGATGTAATGGCACACACACCCTTGAAACCCCAATAGGGCAGAAAAGTCCAGTGGTGGTGGTGGGGATTTGGAGTGGGGAAACATCAAGGAAAGACCGAAACACTGCATTGCTGCCCACTGCTTTGCAGCTCTTGAAAGCACCCCAGAAAGAATGACTGCAAAAGAATCCTGTGTTCATATATATAACATGTAGTTTAGCCTGTTAGCTTGTGCAGGAAGGCAGGAGTTCAAATCTCACTTCAGTTTCAGGCAGACTAGGTGGTGTTCTTAGATAGGCAATGTTTTTCTCTACCTCAAGCCCCAGTTTGCAACAGGGAAATAGTAGTAAAGATGTGCTATATAAGGGCATTGTACAAACAGGGCAGGCAGAAGGTTCCTCTCCAGAGGTGTGAGACTTCAACTCCTAAAGCCCCTCTGCCAGCATGTCCAATGATTAGGAATGCTGGGAGATGAAGCACAAAACATCTGGGAATCTACTGTCTATACTGCAATAATACAGGTGAAGAATTTTGTATAGTTGTATAATAGTGTTACAAATCTCATCTCTGCTTTGGTTGGGCTGTTTGTGTATTCTGTGAATGAGACAGAATACATCAAACTTAAGACTTGAGGCCTAGCTTCCCATGAGTTGCTAAACCTGCATCTGGGCTGTGGCAGTGAAATATACCCTGTTGAAATGAAATGACCCGCCCTCTTCACAGAAAGCTAGCATCTCAAGGAAGATCATATTCTTGTCTTGTCTCTGTGATACCTATGCAGCTCACTGGAATCTGAAATGGCACAGCTGAAAACCTGCTTCACACCTTCTTAAGCTCTATGCCACTGGTGGGAACCTTTTTTTGGCCAGATCAAATAATCTAAGATTTATTGTAGTTAACTACAAAAAAATGGGGATAATTGTTCACTATCATGGAAGTAGCTCTTTTATGATTCCAGAATCCTTTTTCTTACTTAAGGGAGAAATCCTTCATGGTTCCTATACAACATACATATGGGCTTTGCATTTTTTTTCTGTCTAAGATTACATAGGATTGTACTATCAGATTTGACTGGAGTACTGATTCAATTCTAATTTGGGAAGGTCATGAGCCCTGCATTCTAGCAGTGGGTCGGAGCAAGGACAGAAGTAATTCTTGCAAATTTGTGTAATGCCCCACCAAATGTACAAAACCCAAATCTACTCTGGCAAAAGTTCAACAGGTCTTGGTTTTATTGGCAATGAGTTAGTGCCTTGGAACATGCACCTTGTGCCAAGTCAAGTTTACTAAAGCAGAAAGTTCAAGTTTGGATAGGTTCCACTCGATTTAGTGGAAGCCAGGTACAGTTAACTTTGTCTAGATTTAGCTTTTTATGTACAGAGTACCGGTGGGGCTTCAAAGGAAAAAAATAGAAAAATCCAAGTCCCTCTCTGTACATAATATACATGTTGGATCATGCCACAGGAGCCAAGTTAATTAGGTGTGCTTCATGCCTGTGTGGCAGGTTGCTGCACATCCAGTGTCCCATTTTTTTAGAGCAGAAATTATCTAGGAATAAGGGAGATCACTTTTCCTTTTGCATAAGTTTAGATTCTAAACTGGAAGTCAGAATCAAAAACCATCCAATTCATAATTATCCCACCAGCTGTGTGAATTAGTCCAAGTACATCTGAATTAATTTTGTACGGATGTGTGTATACACATTCACTATGGATCAGATGTGTTAAAAGAGCCAGAGCTTGCCTAATTGCACAGATAGCATGCAATAGCATGGTATGCCAATATTCATGGGGCATAGTGGCTGGCTGGGATATGATGGGAGTTTTAGGACTTTTCTATCTAAACCCACATACAATTGAAAATCCAGAGTTTTAGATGTATACATTTAACAGATACATCCCAAATGTAGAAATGTAAAAGCAGCAAAGTGTCTGCAAAGGTGTCTAACATGAAATATTCTTGCCAGGGAGCATTGATGGCCCTTGACTCCCACTCGGGGGAGTGGGAGTAACTCCATAACACTCCATAACAAACCCAGCTCTGCTGTTGCATAATGTGAAATACGGTCTAACATGGCTCCTTTTCATATGCACTTTCTGTGTTGACAGACAACTGTCTCTCCTTCATCAGGAACTGTGTCACATGACTGGCCCAATTTGTTTCACAGCTTGAGGCAGAGCAACAAGTGGTGGTCCGCCCCCGCCTCGCCCCCGCCGAAGTGCCCGACAGCCAAGGCCAGGCGAGCTGTCCAGCACCGGAGGCAGAGACAGGGCCCTCACACCTGCAAGAGGCCACCTGCTCATCTGGCAGTCAAAATACAACAGCGGTAAGCCAAATAATGAATACCTGGGACACCCCAAATCAGCTGCCTGAGGCAGCTGCCTCGCTCTGTAACAGCTCACCACGGCAAACAAGTGCGATGCAGATGTAAAATGACTCTTCACATTATGGTCCCGATCTAGGTATGAACTATGAACTAAGCTTCATTAATTATGAAGCTTATCAATGCTACCCCTTACTCTGAAGTAAGACACATAGAGTTCAATGAGATTATTCCCACATAGGAGGCTATATGACTGCAGCCGAAGTCCCATCGAAAGCAGCTGGGGTTCGGTTACATCCATTCCTTTCGATAGGGCTTGAGCAACCTTTTCCGGAGTTGAGCAGCGATTTAGGGGCATCAACGTGAATCCTGCAAGAATACACCTAATAATCCGAAACCGGAGTGCAACGAACATTTTACAAAGTCGCAGGCACATTCATCACACGAGGCGCTGGGATTGGCTCCAGCTTCCTGTTGAATGCATACTCGGAGGGGGGTGGGAGCAATTTAGCTTGTCACGTAATGTGTGGAATAGCGGACCTAGGAAAACTTGGCTCGCAACCAGACCGCCCAGTGACCGCCACACGCTGTGCTCAGCACCACGGCCGAATCAGAAATGGCCCCCACAGCCCGCGTACTACGCCCCGTCCTCCTCAGCCACTCCCGGTCCGAGCGACCCCTGTCCGCTTTCTTCGGCAGCGCAGGAGGGCTGGCAGCGCCTGTCCTCGCCTCCCACCGGCCGCCCACACACTTTGGCAACACTTGTCGAGTTTTGACGCGCCGTCGCCACAAGTCCCCTGGTGGGCGCCTCCTCCTTCCCAAAGTTGGGCCGAGGCAGGGCAGCAGCCTCACCGCCGAGCAAGGCTCGCCGCGGATCCGCCCGCAGTTGCCCGGGCCTCGGGTTCCTCGCGCCATCCGCCTGCCTTCCCCGCGTTCTTCTGCCCCCTCCCGCTGGGCTGAGGCTCACCCGGGGCTCGCCGGGCGGCGCGCTCGCAGTGCGCAGTGCCTCTGCAGCGACGGCAGCGGCGGCAGCAGCGGCAGCGGGAGGAGCAGGCAGGCGACTCGCTCAGGGCTGGAGCAGGCGGCGGCGGGAGCAGCGCGGCGGCAGTGGTAGTGGCAGTGCTAGCGGCCCCTCCTCCTCCTCTGCTCCTGTTCTTCCTTTTGGGCTCCCGCAGGCAGGATGGTGGCTGTAGCCCTGCAGCCCTCTGCGGGCCGCGGGGCGGGTCTGTAGCTGGCGTGGGGTGGTGCCCTTTGCAGCAATCGGGAGCCGAAGGCGGCGGGCGCCGGGCGCAGCGCAAAGCGCCCGTGCGCCCCTCTTCCTCTCGCTCTCCATGGACGGGGGAGCGGGGGGTGGCCCCGGGGTTCCCGGCTCCGAGAGCCCCAACCGGGCCGTGGAGTACCTGCTCGAGCTCAACAACATAATTGAGAGCCAGCAGAAGCTGCTGGAGACCCAGCGGCGCCGGATCGAGGAGCTGGAGGGGCAGCTGGAGCAACTGAGCCAAGAGAACCGGGACCTGCGAGAAGGGGACAGAGAGAGGGACCGGCACCGCGACCGGGACGGGCAGTATCACCATAAAGAGCGGGACAGCCACTATCAGAACCGGACGGAACGAGATGGGCAGTACCAGAACCGGGAAGGGCAATATCAGAACCGCACCGACCGGGAAGGGCAGTACCAGAACCGGGAGAACCGAACGGACCGCGACGCTCAGTATCAGAACCGTGCAGCAGACCGGGAGAGCCAATACCAAAGCAGAGCAGACCGGGAAGGGCAGAACCAGTATCAGAATCGGGACAAGGAGCGAGATCTTCCACACTATGGGAACCGGGATGGGCAGTACCAGAACCGCGAGAGCCACTACAGGGAACCGTGCCAGCTGCATCGAGAGCGGCCCCCGCAGTGCCATCAGACTCGGGAAAAGGAGCATGAGTACCCTCGGCCCCCTCGGGAAAGGGGGCAACTGAGCCGTGGGGCATCCCGGAGCTCCAGCCCTGGAGCAGGAGGTGGCCACAGCACCAGCGCCAGCACCAGCCCGGCAACTACTCTGCAGAGAAAGTAAGGAGCTGGTCTGCTGCCAGGCCCTTGCAGCCCCTGGTTCAGTGCCCTGTCCCCACTAGGGTTTGCCCTCACCCCCAGCCCCAGGGCCAGAAAAACCCAAGCAGCCCCTCTGGGTTCAGGCAGTAAATAAAAAGTGGGTGCCATCCTAAGCAGCATGCAGGCAGACTCCTTGGCCCAGCCTCCTGGGCAACATTGCAAGGGATCTTGGGGAGCCCTTTTAAAGATTGTCTGGTGCAGTGGTTCTGGGGTGCATGAAGTCTGTTGTGGGTCTGCTGGCCTGGCTGCTCTCAGTGTCGTTCCAGTGCTATTGATCTGGGCCTTGAAATCTTGTGGTTGCATCCCCCTACCCACTCTGCATTCCAGTCTGTTGCTGGGTTGGCATTCCCTTGTGACCCCATCCTCATGGCTAGCTTTTATTCATCCTTATTAGCTCACCTTCATTACTCAGTGTCTGCACTGGACCCTGCCTGAGACACCCCTCCCCCCATTGCATACTGTTACACAGCCTGCTGGGGTGGAACATGCAACCTGCTGTCCCTGTGCCTCCTCCTCATTTGTGGCCTTTTCAAACTTCGGTCTTACTTTCAGTCATCTTTCCTCCTTCCCTGCTTTGCCTTGTTCTGTAGAGAAACACTGCTGTGTGCTAATGCACATGCTTCTCTCACCTGCCACTGTGGATCTTTCTCATTTTGCTATCCTGTCGGAGACTTGCTGTCTAGTGGCTTTGCGCAAAGAGAATGAGAGATTTTCTTCCTGCAGTGGGCCTCTGGAAGCAGTCTCCCTTGCCAGTCCTGCATCTTTCTCCCCTGCCATAGCCCAAATGGCTCTCCTTTCTTCCCTCCCTCCACTCCCCATGTTAGATCTGATTGTGCAATAAATACTAAATGTATATCTTCTAAAAAAAACCCCAAACCTCAAACCATCTGTATTGGTGCTCCTAAACATTATTCCTAGCACATATTTCAGGACTCCACCATTACAAACATGAATTGAGGGTTAAGGTGATGATTCTGAAATGAATGTGTGTAAATACATCCAACAGTGTTTTGTCAGCCTGCAACCCCAGGTTTCCTTTTCTAGTCCTGGCTTGTGCAAAGGAAATCAGGAGCCTCTGGGAGGGAGCCGATCCTTGTGCTAGCCCCTGAAGCTTGTCTCTAATCTTCTAGAATCCTGTTAACATTTTCCTCTGGCTATTTTGTATTGAGTGAAGTTAGTTAGGGCCTCTTGCTTCTTGTTCATGTCCATATGCATCTGTACATAGATACTACATATGGATAAATGAGCCCTCTTTACCCAGTAATCGTAGGGCCTAAGGACCAGCCTTTCAGTATTTTTTCCTTTGATGGGATAGGTGCTGGGAAGGGGCTACTGCTAGGACAGGGCCTGAATTCAGTCCACTGCTTCCCATAAGGCCTAGCTAAACAGGGACTCCAGAGGGGAGGGGTGTTGCTACTGAGTGTACCATTGCTTAGGATGAGAGCTGGGGGAGGTGGTGCCAAGCCGATGCACGAGGGAGTAGGTGTGCATGTGTGGGTGTGAAATGAGTTGCATGGACTGTTTGGTGTTACGTACTGAGCACCAAGTTCAGAGACCAGGAAAAGAATATGGCGGGTGGGGGAAGGGGGGGCCTGCTGATGTATGATGTGAGTAGGACCACAACTTCTGAGTGTGTTTGGGAAAGGAGCAGGATCTGGGTTAGGTGAGAGAAGATTGCAGGACCCAGGACCCAGTGAACCCAAAACCCAACTCTGGGAGAGGAACAAGGGTAGTGTTCCCTTTCTCTTCCGACTCGCATCTTCTTCTAGAATGGGAAAGCTGGCTAGGGATAAGGGAAGCTGTAGTCAAGCACATCCAGAAGGCATCAGGTTGGGGGAGGTTGCTTCTGGGTTGCTAGTGCCAAAGGGTCCCCCTGATCCAGAACTCTGGGGTTTTTGAGTTACTGTGCCTGGGAAGCTGATCTCTGGTGGCTCATTGTTTCTGGCAGAAGACTGCAAAGCTGTGAGCCAAAAGGCTTTAGGATCTGGTTTGGGGAAGGCAGCAGGGAGGCTGTGTGGGGTGGGAATTGACGAATCCAGCCATGTATGTTCTTTCTCTCTCTCTCTCTCTCTCTCTCTCTCTCTCTCTCTCTCTCTCTCTCTTCATCACCGCCTCCTTCTTCTGGTTAGAAATTAGCAAAGTGGTTTGATGCTGCAAATGACTTAAAACCAGCACAAATGTGCCTTGCCATTCCCACCCACTCTCTGCCGACACTGGGGAGGCATTTTTTTAGAGCCTGGAATGGCAATGTGGGGAGGGGGGAACTGATCCTCTCCTTCCTGCTGGCAAAAGACCAGAAATGCCTAGAGGAAGCCCCTCACCTCTGCTCTTACTAACAGGCACTACTCTTTCCAGTTTCTCTTGCTCAGCTAGAAAGTGAACCTGGGAATTATCAGTCCAGCCTTGTCCCTAAGCTCTTACCACTAGAATGCCCTTTGTTCAGAACTCACCTCAGCCACAAACCCATTTGGGTTGCTTGCAAACTGCCACCTTTTATTCTGCTCTCTGCAGTAGTAATAAGACAGAGAACAGCCTACCTTACAGGATTGCTGTAAGGAGTAGCAAAACAAGTTGTGCACATGCTTTGTTTGTTCAGAAGAGCATCATGCAGATGCCAGGATTCATTTTTACATCCCACTTCCTTTTTGAAAGGGAATGGAAGTGTTCTAATACCCCCTTATCTGTCAGGATTGTGACCTAGTCATCTGGGTGATATGGAAATGGGTATTCCCTTCCACTGGTCCAGTGGACTTGCTAAATGTGATGAAACATGTGGTCATTCAAAGCTTCTCTGGAGTTTATTTTATGAGTTCTGGTGCCAGGCACCAGAGGCAGTTGCATGGCTGTCTCTGCAGACCTGGGAAGCTAGCAGTTCAAGATAGCATATACCCCACTAGTTTCTTGAGTACAAATAGGAAAGCAAATTGTCAGCTCCAAAAAGCATTTGTCTCTTCTGCTGCTGATTGTAGCCATGGGAGCGAGTGCAGGAGAAGGAAGCAAACGCTTTCTTGCCCCAGGACCCTTCCTGATTGTGTGCATGGCTCATCAGATAATTCTGGGGAGTGTGTTCACATTACGTAATCCTGATAAAACACATGGCCTCAAAGTCAGTGTTGTGAGAAGCAGAGGGAGCGGGGAATGCTCTAAGGCCAGAGCCGTGAACTTAGGGTTTCTGGCGGCACCAGGACAGATCTAAAATGATGGGCTTGTGGAGCTGGAGATGCTGCAGCTGCGGTGCCAGTTTGTAGGCTCTGCTGCACTCTGCTGTGCTGTGCAAGGGCTCCAGCCCATTCCTTCTCCCAGCCACAGAGACGATTTCTTCCAGTATCAGGGGCACTATGCATCTGTACCGCAGTTGCTGGGGAACATGGGCAGGAGGGTGCTGGTGCCCTCATGTCCTGCTTGAGGGTTTTCCACAGGCACAGTGCGAACAGATGCTAAGCTGGCCGGACCCTTGGTTGAACCAGCACAGTGCTAACATGCTTATTTTGCACATTGATGAGTTGTGGTCCTTTTTTAGCCAGTGGTTGCAGTGGCGCTTCCCAGAAAGCACTCCCGTGTCCCCTTCACTCCCTTCTAGGAGCGAAGAAGGCATTGCAATGCAGACAGAGTGTTCAAGGGCATTAAAAAAACTAATAGGCTTCCAGGCAGCATTCCGGAGCCAGCACCCTGGTTCACATAATTCCTCATCACAACAAGGTTAGATGTGAATTGTCACATGGCTGCTGTTCCTATGAGCTCGGTTCCCATGCAGCCAGGCAGGCGTTAAGCCTGTACTCAACATCAGACAGAAGCCAGTTTTAAATTTGCATGTAGGACAAGCTTTGGGTTGCCAGTCGTGGGCCCAAATGAGGTTGCTGCTGAAAGGGGCAGCTACATGTCTAGTGTGCCCTTTCCCTTCTCCTTTCCCTCCTCCTCTTCTATGTATCTTATAGAGAAATTTTACCCATCTCTTTGCAACATCATATTGCAATGTGTTTCCTCAGCCCCAGCCAGCGGCAAACAGTGACTTTAGGTTAGGGATGGAGGAGTGACAATAGCATCTTGGGCATGCTGTAAGCGCCACTAGCCATTATAGAGTAGGAAATGGGAACTGAGAATTGGGTGACCTTTGTGTGTGTGCGTGTGTAGGGGGAGAGCAACAGCCATGTGTTATAATGTAATGTTGTTTAGTTTGGCCCTAGGTAGCCATGCTGCGATCTTGTCCCAGAAACCCCTTGCTGTATCATTAGCAAGGCACCTGGAAAGGAAGGATTCACACATACCAGTAGCAGTGTAAGAAGCTGGTGCTGGAAGGCAGGCACTTGCGTTTGCTGTGTGAGTGGTGGACTCAGCCCCTGTCTGCATCCTCAGGCCTGGTGCCACCTGGCTTCCATAGGATTCTGGTAGAGGCTTCATTGCCCGTGGCCAGGCCAAGAGGTCTTTGAAGAACAAGTGCTGTGTTTCCTTCCCTCATTTTCCCAGGCATTACAAGGGGCTCAGTGCCAGAGCCGCTTCCTAGTTCAAGGAGGAAGAAAGCAGAAATGGATTGACTGCTAAGGGTCTGCATCGTTATACTGCCCCTCCGATGTGTTTTATGATTTTTTGGTTAGCGTCCTAACTAGTGGCAGACCCAGGGGCTGGCTCACGCATACACATTTGCTCCCTGACGATTGCAGCATCAAGTGGTAACCTGCATGAGTAAATGAGCCATCAGAAATCAAACCCATAGAGCGAGCTATCGTATCACCTTGGAATCACCTTACAGGTCCCGGGTGCCAAGTCATTCAGTCAGATGCAGATCAGTGTTGACTAATCAAGTGTATGCACTTTAGTGCAAATGGGCCTTCTCATTGGTAGGATTTGAAAGGTGTCTAAGGACCTTTTCCTGTGACTCTCCCGGAGCTGTCTGCATTCGTGATGGAGTTGTGGTCTGACAGCATGTCACATGCAGCTCCCTGGAGCCCAACACACATGGCCAC